CCCTCTCCTCTTCTCCTTCCCTCTCTGTGAAACTACCCCCAGCCCCCAACCTGGATTCCAGTAATTTTATCTAGTGTTTCAAACAAATTTGACCCAGTCTAATGGTCTCTGAAAATAAGGAAGCTATAGTGGGCCCTGCAGGGGGGAGGGGTGTGGCGCCACTTACCTACCCTCACCTTGAATCTCTGGGCTTGTTGGAGACAGTGAGCGGCGGTGAGGATGTAGAACTCATTCAGGATGGTGCCTCCGCAAAAGCCTTCGTTGTCCTCTTTGACAAGCAGAGCCTGCAACAAGCACGCCAGGGCCAAACAGTTGAGTTTGACTTGCTGAGAAGAAGAATCTGGAACCTTTAATTCAAGCCTTCCTCTTCATTGCCCCCGCCTGGATTAGGGCATCTCCCTCCCACAGCTGGTTGCCCGTTTGAGCCTTCCCCTGCTCCCACCCTTCCCCCTCTGCTGCTCTTTCCCAGGAGAGAGCTCTGGCATCTTCAGACTGGAACACAAGGCCCGAAGCAGCACATACACCCACAGTGCCCACCTGACCACTCGGGCTATGCCCCAGCGTGGCCAGTCCTGCAGACCTGAGCTCGCATCACCACACCTGCCTCATTGGCCATTCAGTCCAGCACCCTGGCACATTCTCCAAGACGTGGCTCATGGTTGACTTCGCGGCACCTTCCCAGCTCCTCCCAACCCACTCCCTGATTCCACAGCACAGGCTTTCTGGTCTTTGCTTCACCCCCCAGCCAATGGATCGACTTATTCATTTACTCCACAGACATTTGTTGGGGCCCTAGTAAGTGGCAAGCACTAGCTACTGAGTAGGGTTGTGTCACAATTTACCTACCTCTTTTCCCACCTGGACTACAAAACTCACTCTGACAAAAGTTAGTCTGTTATTTCTTCTGGATCTGTCATAGCACTCTCTAAAGAGTTACATACAGAAAAACAATTCTCACTATGGTAAAGATCTTTATTGTCTATGTGGCTATGAATTATATACCCCAGACCAGGCAGAAGCCAGTCTTTGGAGAAAATGCTTGCCTACACTGGTGTGACTTTTGGGCTCTAGAAGAGATCCACTATTCAAGCCAGTATCCCACAGCCCATGGAATGCCAACCATCAAGGTTAATTTCTGTGGAATCCACGTGGCTACTTCTGTAAGGGATTTGCACCCTGATTTGGGAGTGAGGAGTATTCCACCTGAGGATGAGCATTGACTGGGCAAGTGAAAGTCACCACAGACAATTCTCTTATTTTCCTTCTCCCCCAAAGAACTGGGCTTGCAAACCCAGAGATGGAGCATTTTTTGTCTCCCCCCCCGCCTTTATCTTGGGAATTCCACATCCTCTAAGCAACAGTTATTGGCTGAGGGTATGTGTGGGTTAATGAAACAATTAACATCAAGTTCTAAAAGAATTCTTGAAGCTATTCCTGACTGTTACATAGTACAGATGCTCCATGATGAGGCCACATCCCAATAAACCCATCGTAAGTTGAAAATATCATTAAGTCGAAAATGCATTTAATGCACCTAACCTACTAAATAACATAGCTTGGCCTCGCCCACCTTAACCACGCTCAGAACACAAAAGCCAAAACCCTGGCAACACAGTTCATTGTCAAGCATCACATGGCTGACTGGGGCTTCGGCTCACGCCTGGCATCAGGAGAGAGTATCACACCACGTATAGCAAGTATGGGAAAGATGAATGTGTATCACTTTCACACCATTGTAAAATAAAAAAATTGTAAGTCGAACCATCATAAATCAGGAACCTTCTGTAATGTTTCTTTGCCTTTTTTTTTTTTTTGCATAATTTATCAGCTCATAATCCAAATTGGGCGATGAGTGAGGGAGAGTCAGTCTTTCTAAGGCTTGGCCACCATCTGTTCTTAAAGATGGAGATGAGGCCACTTGCCAAGCCTGGAACCAGGAGAGTAAGGATCATGAATTCCCCACAGACTCCCTGAGGAACCCTCTGGTGAGGATCCTTTTGCCCACATGCCCTTCCCTGTGCTCTCTGCCCCCGGAGTTCCATCTAAAGCTGCTCTCAGAGCTCGGGGCTGGACGCCTCCACCCTCTGTGGAGCGCGTGCTCTTCATCCCAGTGGAACCTCGTCACACTCCCCTGGTACCACCTTCGCGGCCTTTATCATACATCAACTTGAATTGTGGTCATTTGGGTGGATCTAAGCCCCCTTCCTAGGTCTAAATGTCCACATGTCAGAGAAGCAGCTCCGATGACCTCATAGTCTACATACACAACCCCAATTCTGAGCCTGACATACAAGTTCTCCATAAATAAGCGTTGAGTGAATGAAGACTAGATGCTGAAACATCCTCCCTTGCGCTCTTGATAATTCAGACAAATGCACACCTATCATGTAGGTTGCAGGTGAGGGGTGAGCTGAGATAATTTCTAAAGACTGTCGGCAGCTCTGGGATTTTACTTGTAGGAGAAGCCATTTTGGCTTTGGGCACTAAAAATATATTAAGTCTAAGTTAGGATTGCCAGATAAAATAGAGGACAACCAGTTACATTTGAATCAAATAAATAGCAAATATTTTTTGGTAGAATAATATGCCCCATGTAACATCTGGTGTATACTTACACTAAAAATTATTCATTGTTTTTCTGAAATTCAAATTTAAGTGGAAGTCCTGTGTTTTTAATTGCTACATCTGGCAACCCTTGTCCAAATGAACAAAAAAGGAATGATTTTTTACCTTTGATAATGAACAGATGTATTTTCCTCTAAGGTACTCTCTGCCTCATTCAAATTTAAGTGTTTGAATAAAATTTTTTAAACAAATTAGAAAGGAAACAAGGGGAGTAAACCTTTTGGCCTCCAGTAAAGCAGAAGAGCAAGCAGAGACCTCACCTACCATCAGGGGAGCCACCATTTACCTGCTCACCCAAGCCTTCTACTGTAGGAGAGGTTTTAGGGCTCAGATCTTGAGCACACAGATAGGAATGGGCAGCGGGGGTGAGGGCGTAAGCAAGGGCCCAGCTTCTTCTCATCTCAGGTTCCTTCAGCACGGGAGCTCAAAGCCTGCTGAGGGTCCACATGCGTGCTTGGGCAACATGAGCCGAGCCTCAGTGGGTGTGCCAGCTGTGCCCAGCCAGGATGGGTCCCCCATCCAGTTAACTCACTAAACGCTCTCCACACTTACCTGCCAGGGACACTCGCCTTCTTTGCAGTCCCTCCCTCCCACTATCCTGACAACTGAGCTCCCATCTTCCTCAGGGCTCGGCTCTGTGTTGTTCAAGTTCAGCAGATCCAAAGGGTTCTTGGTGGGTTCCAGGTCTCCAGGGTCGTACTGGCCCAGTGTGCTGATTTCGGGGGGATCCTCGCTGCTGTTGAAGGCCTGTGCCATGGATCTCTTCCTACGTGCCAGAGTGTATTTCCCACAGGGAAAAGGCTCTGAAAGAACACAAACAATGGCCTGGGGCTTCAGCAAAGCAAATATCTCTGTGCACCACATACACAGTTCACTGTGCAGCAGGAGGCGTAGGGGAGGCTGAAGAGAGGGAGGGTCTAACCCTCAAGGTAACGGGGTGAGAGGCCCTGAAAATGCAGCTGGAGAAGAGTGAGGTGTATGTTTGGTAACTGGGAAGGGTGTGAGGAACTTTTGGGGTGCAGAGTGCTCTGTGTCTTGATAAGGATTAGGTTCCAAGGTGTATATGACTGTCACAATGCAGGGAACGCGCACTTCCTTTCAGTGCCCCCCACTATGTGTCAGCTTCACCTAAATGACAGTGCTGTGTACACTGACCTCTGGGGCTGAGCAGTATACTGGAGTCTTGAAGGGGATGTCTGCAACCTACTTGGAAATGCATCCAGATAATAAAGCAGCTTGGGGTGGACCGAGGACAAATGCGGGGGTGCTGGCGTTGGTGTGGCAGCCAGGTGATGAAGCAAGTAGAGATGTGAATGGTAGAACCGGGGTAGGGGCCTATGGGTGCTCACTGCCAAATCCTGTCAACCCTGCTGTGTGTTTGAAACATTTTCCATTGAAATGTGTTGTTGTTTTTTTAAAGTGTTCTGGGAAAAAGGGACAACATATGCAAACAATCCAAGGCGTAAGAAGGAGCACTACAGTGTGGCTTTGTATGATTTCTAACAGTGATAGCTCTCCTAAGAAGCACCACACACAAGGGAGATGTCAGTAAATATCAGAAAGCTTCCTTTCTGTATCACCAACTAGGGAACTGAGGCAGAGAGAGGGACCAAAGCAGGACAAAGAAAGGGAGACGTGTGGAGGGCCGACCTGAAAACAGACGGCTTCTCTCTGCCACCTCCTGTTTGTCTAAGATCAGATAAGCAAAAACGTAGTTATTTTTGGTGCTTGCAGTGTGCTCCTGCAGGACTTGAAGGGCCCTCCCCACCCCCAGCAGACTTGGTGCATGTGCTAGCTGGAGATAAAGAGTTCTGTGTTAATATTGGTAATCACTGCCCTTTGAAATTCTGAATTAGGAAGTAGTTGACCTAATTTTATTTTCAAACATCACATTTTATTAAACTGATTTGTAATTATTCCTGGAATTTAAACAAAATTTGCATGCATGTTACAGAATCTACCCCTATTGTTGAACCAGCTTAAGTTTAAAAATCTCATTACCAATAGAAATGTAAATGACACTGTCTTTTACTTATTGTGAGAGTTAATGTTACCTAGTTGCAGTCATTCTGGAATGTTCCTGCTTCTTGGAGTGGGCCTAGGACTCTGCATCCCTCCCCCCCTTTGCCCCCCAGTTGATGCTGAGGGTTTTGGTCATTCAGGAAACCAGGCTTTGAGAAACAAGTTGGGGTCACTGTGAGATTAAGAGAAAGGAGTGGCCTTTCAGAACCTCTGGTTCAAGGTTGGCCTTGCAGCAGGGGAGGAACTTCCTATAGTGAGTGAGACCTGGACTCTCCCACCCCAGGGACCTGGCCCATCTCTTAGCCCCTTAATAGGCCATGCCCTCTGTGAGCTTCTAGGCCAGACTCATGGTGTCTGGCTTTTATAGAGAAAAAGAAAAAAGAAATTTGATTAACATGGGGGCCCACACAACCTAAATTAATTCTTGAGGGGCCTCGGCTGCCCTCCTGTACCCTTTTCCCAACTCTACAGCTCCCACAGTCAAGCCTGCATTGCCTGCCCCTCACTGGCCTGCACTCTCATATGGTCCACTGTAAATCTCAGTCTCCCAAACCTCCCACCCTACCCAGGGGTGTAAAGCATGCCTTCTGCACACTCATTATATAGTTAGGGTTTGCTATGAGCCAGGCACTGTGCAAAGTGCCCTCCATGTATTAGTCCCTTAATTTTCACATTCACTAAGTAGTTAGATAATATCATTGGTCCCATTTTTCACATGGCTCACAGAAAAGTGGGTCTATTTCCATGACTGTGGCCCACCCAGGATGCTCCAACTGCTCTGCTCACCAGCACTGGCACTGGCCTCTCTGACTCAGGGAGCCCTGGTTGGGTAGCCCCATGCTCCTCCTACCTGTGGAGATGCAGGACTTGCCATTGTCACCCAGGATGTACCCACTGGCACAGGAACATACCACGGTGTTCTCCTCCTCTCTGCAGAACTGGTCACAGTCCCCATTGTCCAGGCTGCAGAATTTTCGTGTCACTGTAGGAAATGCATTAATGAAACTTTAGAAAACATTCAGAATGGCCCTGGGGTCAGCCAAAAGGTGTCCAGGAGTGGCAGCTCTGGACTTGGGATGAAGTGATGCATAACTGATATTCCCGTCAGAGAAAATTCCAAAGTAATCCAATCCAAGAACACATTCTAAAGATTATAAATTAAGTAATTTAAAAGAAACGCAGCCCTGCCTGGTTTGGCTCAGTGGTTAGAGAATCGGCATGTGGACGGAAGGGTCCGGGGTTTGATTCTTGCCAAGGGCACGTACTTCAGTCGCAGGTTCGGTCCCCAGTCCCAGTGGGGTGCGTGTGGGAGGCAACCAATCAATGTGCCTCTCTCACATCAATGTTTCTCTCTCTCTCTCCCTCCCACTCTCTCTGAAAAGCAATGGAAGAAATATCCTCGAGTGGGGATAAATAGAAAAAAAAGGACAAGAAATGCAAACCTTTCTCTTTAGGGAAAACTGGTCTAATTTTTATATAAAAATTAATCACTATACTAGGAAAACTCTTGGTGACTTGTCCATGTAGAATTAATTAAATATTTCAAATTTTTATCATTGGACAGTTCCAACACTTAGTATTGACATTTGCATTAATAATGAGGCGATTTAGAATCATTGCCCAAGACCAGCAAGAATGTAAATGACAGCGGCCAAGGAGGAAAAGTCAATTCTTGTCTCCGTGCTGCTGGCCCACATGGTTCATGAAGGCTCCTCGGCCTCCCTTAGAGGAGCAGAGAGGTGACTGTGTGTCTCATGCTCGAAAACTGAGTGGACTGCAGGGCATGTTTGGGGTTGTGCTGTTTCGTTTTCCTTTTCTGTGTCTACAGCGGCCCCTCAGCATGGAGCACAGACTCCAAATCAGGAGTGATACGAAGCTGTTCCCTTGGACATGTTGACCCCTTCCCTCCTCCCCACGTCTGCCTCTGCAGGCAGCTCTGAGCAAGAAGAGGGACTCACGCAGTTCACAGTTTTTGCCCTCATAGCCTTCCAAGCAGGCGCACGTGTACTCCCCCAGGCCGTCTTTACACAGGCCGCCGTTCAGGCAAGGGCTGCTCTCGCACTGGTCGCCGTCTGCAAAGGAAGCGTTTGGAAACAGGGCTCGCAGGCGATTTCCGTCATCACGGGAATCCTGTTGATCTTGGCACACATTTTTCAGAGTGAACCTGGAGATCTTCCTGTTTCCCCGTAAACAGTCTCTCCTATCTGAACTTTATTCTATCCCCGCCTTTGTGGCTGTGTGTACGTGAAGCCCTTATCTAACTGGATCACTGACGGAGCTTTCCAGTTTGTGCTGAAATGATTGACCGGATTTTTACATCAGAGTGAGGCGCTCTGGGCTGGTGACCGTGTGGGACCAGCTGGAAGGATGGAGGACATGGGATTGTCTGACACTGCTTCTGGGCCGAGCATTGACAAGAGGGATGTTAGGGTTCCTCTTTCCAGATGCTCTGAGGGTAACATGAGAATGCAGAGACAACTGCTCAGCACCAACACGGGACTCCACATTTCTCGGTGCATTCATACAATCTAATTTAGAGATAAGTCCAATAGTCATTTTGGGAAATTTGAATGCTATTGCCAGAATGAAAACATGAGTCATGATTAATACCATTTCAGGTGCTATAAGCATTAAATCAAGGTGGTTACCTTATTTGAGGACCCAATCTTTCAGGCTCTATTTTTTTTTTCTAACTAATATACTTGGATTTCAAAAAATTATCACTAAATTTGGCATTCTCAAATGAGAATAAACTAATTTAAATATATAGTGAAGTAACAAAACTAGGATGAGTATAAAGTTACTATAAAAAACTACTTTACAATAACTTACGAAAATTCTCAGAGGGGAAAAGTGTTAAATAAGTAGGACTTAAACAGGAGTAGAAAGGCAATTCAGAAAGCATTTTCAAAATTCAAATACAATTTCTCCCAATTTAAATATCCTAATGAACCCCTCTCATTTAAAATTAAAATAGAAAACATCTCACCTTTGTATCTATTCCAGAATTCATTCTAAAAGGGAAAAAAGATTTTAAAGCACATTAGGGAAAACACAGACATTTTACAACAATAACAACCATAGCCTAGTAATTCAACGTGAATAGAGTACTTTCCCAACCAGAGGTCATTTTCTGGAACAAAATGCTCTAGAACTCTTCAATCTAAAAGGGAAAGTTTTCCAGATCTTCTGCATCTATAAAGGTGTGGCTTCAATCACCATCTCTGTTGAATATTGAAAATTTATTTTCAAGTTAATCACCAAGAAATGGGTTGTACCAAAAATGGTTTGCTCTGTTTGCTACTCCAATGAATGGTTTTTAGTTGAAGTACCTGGGTCAAAGATTCAATAAAGGAATGAGTTATCGGTGAATAATAATGGTAATTTAAAAAATGATAATCGGTAATTAACTTAAAATAGGGCATCAAGAACCTATATATTAACTAAAAAGTGCTCATAGATTAAAAAATTTTTTTTTTGCTGTCTGTAGTAGGTTGAATAGTGTCTCCTCAGCCTCCAAATTTAGGTGTAAACTCACAATGTGACCTTAATTGTTAATAAGGTCTGTGCTGATGTAATTAAGGTTATCAACTGAGATGAGATCATGCTGGATTAGAGTGGACCCTAAGTCAGTGAGAGTGGCCTTATAAGAGACAGAGAAGGACACACAGAGACACAGAGAGAAGGCCACATGAAGATGGAAGCAGAGATTGGAGGGATGTATCTATAAGCCAAGGCATGCCAAGGACTGCTGGCAGCCATCAGAAGCTAGAAGAGAGGCATGGAATATATTTTCCCTCAGATCTTCCAGAAGAAACAAACCTTGCTGACACCTTAATGTCTTACCTGTGGTCTCCAGAACTGAGAGAATAAATTTTTTAAGGCACCCAGTTTGTGGTTTCATTTTACTTTTTTTTTTAGTGTCTTAATATGGAAGCTTAGAATATCAATTTGAGACCTTTCATCTTTTCCAATAAAAACTTTTTATGCTATAAATAAATTCCCCTATAAGTACCATGTTGCTGCATCCCACAGATTTTATATGTTGTATATTCATTTTTGTGCAGCCGAAAATATTTTTGAATTTCCTTTGAGACTTCGTCTTTGACCCATAAATAATTTAGAAGTGTGTTGTTTAATTTCAAAATACTTGGAAATTTTCTTGTTACTGATTTTGATTAATTTCATTATGGTCAGATAACATTTTATATGATTTCAATCTTTTAAATTTGTTAAGATGTGTTTTATGACACAGGATACGGTCTATCTTGTAGAAAGTTCCATGGGTACTTGGTAAGAAAGTGTGTTCTGCTATTGTCGGGAATCTTATAACTATCAATTAGATTCAGGTCAAGTGATGTCTGGAGAACTGCAGGGGGAAAAATGATAAACTCACAATTCTATGGTGCCTTGAATTCTAGTCGTCTTTAATGCACTGCTGTTATTTACTTTTCAGGGTCCTCAAATAGCTGCTTCATGCAGTCTCTTCAGGTTTTCTAGCTATAGTCAGTAGGAGACAGGGTAGAGAGTGCTTTCTTCATATTACTCGGAACCAGAACTTGTTGATAACTTTTGATCCAGTAATCCTTCTCTGGAGCAGCTATTCTTAGAAGATAATTCAGAAGAAATATATATATGTATGTATATATATGTGGGTGTGTGTGTGTGTTTTCATATTAGCAATATAAAAATGACTTACATGGCCAAAACATGAGAAAAGTAAATATGTTGATACAATAAAATTTAATTTAGCTCTTTAAAATTTAAAGTATGGTAACTATATATAGAAGTAAGGAAGAGTGAGAAATGGTGCTGAGAAGAAAAGTAGCACTGAACTTGGACTCACATTACAATTATTTCTATTATCTAAAAAAACTATGGATGTGTATGTGAAGTAAAGGAAAATTTAAAAAATAAAACTAGTTCTTGAAATTATGAATAACTTTTAAAAATAGACAAATCATTGATTTGGTAATGAGTAAAAATGAATTCTCAATTCCTCTTCTCTCCTCTGGTGGCTGAAACGAACACTGGTAGTCAAGCGGATAGAAACATACAAGGATCCCTGGCAGGCCTTGATCTTTTGCAGAAATACAAAGATGTCTGAAGCACACAACTTACAATTACTATTTGCTACACAGACGTGCCAGCTGTGTTTTCCAGTGTCTTAGTGGTTGCTACATTCTCCTTCCCGTCTTCAGGTTTTATGGTAGGAAACACAAGTACTTCTTCAGGGTTGCTGGAGTCTGGGAGACTGGCGATGCGGCCAGTGCCGGTGCCCAGCCAGCTGGGGGGTTCCATGGCGGTGCAGAGCTTTTCCTCTAGGAGCACGGCCTCCTCCCCATCAGCTTTTTGGCTTGTTCCTCCTGATCTTCCTTCCTCCCTCTCTCCTCCCTCCCTCCCTTTAAATTTTTTAAGAGTTAATTTGAGCCAAAACTGATGATAGTTGCCAGGAAGCAAGATCTCAAATGCTTCTGTCTTGTTCTTCAAAAAATGCTTGCTGCTGCATGGAGCTATTTAATCCGTTGTAGGCACGGCACATTTCCTTCAGGACAAACAGCTCAAAGCGCTCAGTGAGACACAGAGTGGTCCATTTGGCCAAACATCTCATTACCTGTAGGCGGTCACAGATGAATGTAGGATGGCTGCAACTCACTTTCAGGAACGCTCTGAAAAGATTATCAAAGACTCTGGCTGTGGTCTGAGGCGGAGGACATTCAATAGCTTTTGCCACACAGGCATTATTAATAATTTTTGAAGTTTCTTCATTCTGAAGAGGCTAGTTTCTGGCAGCTTCTGGCAGCTTAGTTTCTCCCAGGGCTTTCTCAAGTTCTTCTATCATGCTCTCTGGAAGGATGAGGTGAAGTCAATCTCATGGGTTTGGCCTTCTGCGCCATCGGGATGGTGGGTGATCTTGTCTGTAATATGCTTCACTATCCTTGATACAATCTCCATGATTTTATGAGATCATAATAATCTGCAGAGGCCATGGAAAACTCACAGGTGGTGAATTAAAGTCAAATCATCTGGAACTGGCATCCAGTTTCACAAACTGGGTCGATGCCACTGCCCACCAGCATCTTATGGTAGAGTTCTGGGGCAGTTCTTCTCTGTAAGTTCATATCCAGCTTATTGTGGTAGGTGATGGAAAGCTTGATCCCAGTTCCTCCTGAGATGACATTCCTCAGAGGAATTTCATTGTCTAGGAATCCCAACTTATCCAAAAAACTTCTTATATATGTGAAGCTATTAGTGTGGATGATAAATTTCTTCTTCACAAAGCAGTTCAGGGTCAAGCCCAAGTATCTTCAACGATATCGTGTTTCCTTGTCTTTGAGGCTAAAGTGAGGATGAGGTGAGATATATGACCAAGGAGGCGGCAGTGTGACTTTGTGGAGAATGATGCTAGGCACACCCTTCTCAGTTTCCCCAGGATTCTCCTGAACTCCAATTACATTTCTCAGAGGCAGTTTATTATCCACATGAATAAATTCTTCTTTTGATTTAAAATTCCTTGAACTGGCCATGATTTGCGACTTGACCTGTTCTTGAAGGGCACAGAAGATGGACCTCCTCCAGCTCTTCTCTTGTGGATCCTACCTCCTGCCTTCAAGTGATGTTGGTTAGGTGGTCCGCGGGTGCAGCAAGTGAGCCGGTCTGCACGGAGCCTCTGTGGTGTGGGTCCCCTCAGCGCCCAGCATCTGGTGGATGCTCCACTCTGGTCCTGTGCTGTGGGGGCGGGGGGCAGGGTCCACTGTCAGTGATGTGCTGGTGGCAGCAGCAGCCTGGCAAAACTGTCTCTCGCAGAGCTCCTGCTTGGTTTCCTTCTCTGCTACTTTCTTCTCAGTTGTCAGGTGACTTCAGTTCATTCTTGCCCAGTTTCACTCGCCACTACCCACTGCCACCTCAGCTCTTCGTGGTGGCCATCTTTCCCAAGGGCCCTACCCAAGTATGTGACTTTTAGGAAAGCGACAGGGCCTCGACTATTCCAGGGGTAAGGGGAGGGCACCTTTGGAGGTGCTGCCGTTGCTGCTATGCAGGCTCAATGTTGGGTCTCAGGGCCCACCATCTATAGCTCTTAAGGATGCAATTCAGGTATTGGTTGAGGGCATGAATAATTTTTAAATAAACTTGTTTTGTTTTAGAATTGATTTAACAATACCTTCAGAAGTTCTCATAACTCTTGTAACTGATTTCGGGCCATACCTTCTTTTCAGTTTCCCACCCACGAAACAAGTTGATGTGCGGTGGGTAAGGAAACAGGAACGAATGTCCTTGCAAGCAGTAGAAGAAGGCAGGCTCTCCACTCTGCACACCAGAAAGTCTTTCCCTGGCTGTTCTCTCCTGGCAGAGGCCACAGCACAGAAGGGCATGTAGTGTGGGCCTGGCATGGGCTACACGGACAGCCTCCAATAGAGGGGTAACCAGCATCCCCATTCGGGCCCAGCATAGTCCACAACTGATCTCCCTGTGCCACCAACCCTTACCGTCTTCTCGGTGTCCTCAAAGACTTCTCGGGCCTCTTCGTAGGAGCAAGTCTCTTCCTCACATTCTCTTTCAAGGTTTCCTTTCTTGATCTCTTCTAAAAAGGAATTTGCCCTCCGGGCCCTCTCCAGGACAGTGTGGGCATGCTCCCGGTTGATGAACACTGGAAGACAAGGGAGGACACAAAGCACTTTATCAAATTACCTGCTCTCCCCCCAGCCTGTAGTATCATGTCACTTCCATGCTGAAAAGGTGGAAAACTCCTTCCTCATGAACTAAGGCAGCTGGGAAAGAAATGCCCATCACCCTCATGACTCCTCCTTGAATGACAGTACAAGACACTTGCTCTAGACCCCACACACCCTTCTCTGGAGAAGCAAACACGTCCCATCCAATCAACTTACCATCCTCCCTGCACATTCACACCCAGCTATTGGGTGGTCAACCCAAACCTCTTTCTTGAACTTTCCCTTCTCAGAGTGGCTCCAGGTCACTGTCATCTGCACCCTGCCACCCCCCAGGCTACTCCACTCTGTGCTTTGGCTCAGGCTGTACCCTTCCACCCCCATACTCATCCTGAACCTCATCCACCCTTCAAGGTCTCAGCTCTGAGTAAATGGGGAGTTGTGATACTGTTTTGATCACGATCTACAATTAAAGGTATGGCTTATATCAAGTCCCAGGACTCATGTATACACAATTAAAACAGAAGTTTCAGAATAGTACTTACTACTATTTTGTTCAAAATAGTACTTATTACAAAATTTTCTACTTAATTCTGTTCTATTTCATGAAAAACAAACAAACAAAAAACAAAAGCACTAAATTGATTTCATGACTACAAATGAATCACGACCTGCCAATTAAAATGTCTTGGGTCAGAGAGTCTCTGGATCCTCCCTATGGTCTCCACAGCAGAATCGTCCCCACCTCTCTGCCTGAGTCTTATCTGGCTCTCACCCACTCCTTTTCTCCTTTTCATTGTGACACAGGAGGCCCTCGATTCTTTTCTTTGCCCTCTGCGCTCCTCTCTCTGTCTTTTCCACGGAAGAATTTAGTCTCACCATAATAAAGACTCTCCGAGTTAATATTTCTAGTCTCAACTTTCATCCTAGTTCTATGTTTTCAACTCTCATCATGACAGCTGTCTCCCCCTCATCTCAGTACTCCAAACTTCCATGTTCAAAACTAAAAAACCCTACAGTACTGCAGAGTCAAGAAGGCTTGGGTTTCCAGTGCATCTTGGTCACCTACTACTTAATAGTGGCAAATGGAGATTACAATACATACTTACTTCTTAGAGTTGTTTTAAAGAAGTATACAACTCCTACCGTTCAGTTTGGTACACAGAAGGTGCTCAGTAAAGGTTAGCTTCATTCCTGCCTCAGATTACTTTCCCTTCCAAATCCCTCATTTCTTTGCGTGACATCAATATTATACCAACAACATCAGCCTCAAGCTTGTTATTAGTGCTCCCCTCCCCCTCTACTTCAAAAGTCTGCTTCAGTACCAAGTGCTTGCTTTGAAATAAAATCCACACATTAGTTTCTCTCCTCCGTCATTCCCCTACATGGATTTCTTCCCTGTTCTGTTTTTCTCTTTCACTTTTGGACTTTTCACCGCTTTCTCATCTCCCACACAGCTGGGCCCCCTCCGTCTGCTCCTGCCCTTGCACTTGACCCAGGATGCAGACAAAGCCCAGGCCTGATGCCACCTCTGCTCTCTCCTCCGACTTGGCTCGTTCCGCTTCTCTCCTTTCTGAGCCTTTCCTTTTTGGACAGGCCCTGGGGTCCTGGAAGGTCCAGAGACTCCCATCTCTCCAGCCTCGTGCTGGGCAGCCCCTTCCCCCTGCCTCAGTTTACTTTGGCGGAGGAAGGGGGCTTCTCTCGGTCTCTGCCTGCCACTTCTTTCTTCTCTCCCTCTCTCCACCTCCCTTCCTCTGTTTTAAGTCTCTCGTTCTCTCTGTCTCTCTCTCTGTGTCTGTCTCTGTCTTTGTCTGTTTCTGTCTTTCTGTCTGTCTGTCTCTGTCTCTCCATGTGTTTCTATCTGCCGGACTCTCCACCCAGGGGGAGGCACACCTGGCCCTAAGCTGCCTTGGCTGAGACCACCAAGCCCAGCTGTCTCGTGTCAGCATTTGACAGGGGACAGACACCCACTGTCCATACTGTGGAGGTTCAAGGGCGCCACCCCAATTCTCCACCCTCTCGCCTCTTCCCTGAGGCCACCTCTGCAGCCTCCAAGTCGAGGGCCACTTACCACTTCCCCCTGGCAACAGGAGGCTGGCCAGCGAGGCACTGAGCAGGATGAGGCACAGCACGGCCATGCTGTGGCCTAGGACAGCGTCTCTGTCCCCACTGTGACAGGCTCCAGGGCAAGGTTCACTCACCCTGGATCAGAGGGTGGATGACTGTCCTTCTGCTTATCACAACCTTCTGATTGGAGCCTGGGCTGGCTGTGGGTGAGGGACAGGGGCGGGTGACTATGCTGGGGGCATTGTCACCTGGCCTGTACAGCTGTGGGGAGTCCTGTTGGAACCTCGTCAGTAACCATATACAGTGGGGCCTGCTTCAGACACAGGAACTTTTTGTTCTAAGAAAGTAAAAATGAGATTGTATAGTTTTCAGACATGTATGTGTGGCTCTCATTTCACCATTACAATCATGATAAAAGCTAAGTATCATTTCCCTCATCTTTTCTCCAGAGTAGAAAATTGAGTCTTAGAGAGAGTGAAGTGTCTATGGGACATGTGGGACTTGAACCCAGGACATTCCACCTCCGTGTCTTTTGCTTTTCCGTCGGTCTGAACCTGTCCTCTGCTCACAGGCCTCTCTCTCCAGGTGTTGCCAGATGGGGCCCCACAAAGGACCTCTAGCCCAGAGGGTCCTGTGCTTCAACTGCATGCCAGGCTTGCACCCACCCCCCTAAATTTAGGGGCTCTGGGAGGCAGAGCTTGTCTTGTGACCTTTCCATGCCACATGATTCCTGTGCACAGGCCCCTACACATCCTTCGAGGAGGATACCCCCTGCCTGGTGTGCCTGGAGGGACTGCTCTGCTGGAACCCTGAGTGATCTGTTGACTACAGGACAAGCGGGCTCAAGGTCCAGAGGGTCTGTGACAGGAGGAGCTCCTTGGCGTGCCTCTCAGCCCCACGCTAAGCTATGGAGAAACATGGCTTCTCTTGACAACTTGGCCTCACATACTCTCCTGGGGGCCAGGCTGGAAGGGGCAGGGAGAATGAGCCTAAGTCACAGCCTCATGGTGTAGTCCATTTCTCTAATGCGAAGCTCAGTACGCGTCATCTGGGAGAAAACTCGGAAGGGGCCACGGTGCCTGAGCACCAGGACTAGAGGCAGCTTCATCACCCAGCCCCTCCCTGAGGCTCCCACTCTCGGCTTCCCTCACGCAGGGCCAGGAAGTAAGGAAGGCACCAGATCCAGGGAATACAAATCTTGCTTCTTGGCTCTCATCAGGGCTGTGTCTCTTTGCAAGAAACGACAGACGTCAGGGAAGGGCCAATCACCGCAGGACAGTGGAAGCAGCCCGCCACCTTGGCAGCCGGGCTGGGGAGGGAGGTGTGTGTGCTAGGTAGTGGGTGCACACCAAGCGCCAGGCCTCACTGCCAGTGGGGAAACCTCTGGGGCTCCAAGCATGGTGACACAGCCTGAGCTCCTGGGCTGACCAGGGTCTCTGCAGCCAGACTCCAGGATCTGGAGGAAAAGGCCTGGGGAGTGGCCTACAAGATGACTGCTGCTCTGAGAGAGACAGAAACAGAGACAGAAAAAGACTGCACTCTATTCCACAGTGCCCATCACTCACAACACATTTCGCACATGGTGGTTGATTACCCAACGCCCATGATCACTTGGTATAAGTCTCATCATCTGGTCTGTTTGTCGCTCTGTCTCCAGCATTTAGAGGGGTGTCTGGCACACAGTAGATGCTCAATAAACACCAACAGATGGAGTGAATCAGTTCAGTCCCGTAATGTGCCTGCTCTGTATGCTGAGACCAGGTTGGACTTTCACAGGGTTGTCACTGTGACATGCAGAGCCTGGCCTGACAGGAGCCCTGCCCTGTCCCTAGAGCCTGGTGGGCTGGAAATGATCTAAGTGCCACTCACAGAAAGATGGAGATGATCCATAATGGTTAGCATATCTCTATGTCAAGTGTTAGCCTTCAGGGATTGTCCCGATGTCACGTGGCACCCATGCTTAGAGTAGCTCTGTGAGAGGGAGGCTTGTGTGATCCATGGATGACTGGGGAAACTGAAACAGAGCCAGTTACCTGCCAGGACCCTGTTTAACCTCATGTGGGTCTGGGGGACTCCTGGCCTGGCCACATCAACCCCATCCCCTCCTTTTCTTCCCAGGAGTGGGGGGTGTCCAGAGAGCTTTCATTTCCAGGAAGAAATAAGAGACTCACTGGGCTGAGAGCCTCTGGAGATCTCTTGCATTTTGGTTGCAGAATTTTCCCTAGGTGTCTGTTGCCTAAAAGTTGAGCTGGAGGACATCTGGATGTTTGCAAATCAGCTTTACCATCCATGATGACATAATTGAATTCTCCCAGATGCCTCACTCCATGTGCACTGGTTTCATGCTCATGACAAGCATTGAGGTCTGCTTCCATTTTAGAGATTAGGGAACAAGGCACAGAGAGGGTAAGTGGCTTGGCCAAGAGTTACAGGTGGAGCCAGACTGACTCCAGGAGGTCTGGCCCTATGTCAGGTCTCTGAAAGTGCATGTCTGACCACTTGGTGAGATCCCTATAAGATACAGCCTTACCAGAGGACCAAACCTTTTCTGTAAAGGCCCAGATCATACATTAGGTCTATGGGTCAGATGGTCTCTTGGGTCAGATGGTCTCTGTCCCAACTACTCAATGCTGTGGTTTTAAGCAGCCATGGATGATTCGTAAAGGAATGGGTGTGTCCCAAGAAAACTTTATTCACAAAAACAGGTGGCTTGGACTCAGTCTTAGCTATAGCTTTCAGACCCTGGTCTCCTGAAGACTAAATATGACCTGCCTGTCCAGCAGAGCAAGTCCTGACACCCTAACTCACATGTGTTAAGTACTTGTGGTGTTTCAGGCATGGGACAGGCCAGTTGCTGTCCTCCAGCTGGGTCTTGAGGGAGGGGAGCGCCCTTTGGGTTTACTCCACCTGCCTTTGCCAAGTTCCAGTGGGGCCCATTCAAACTTCGATGCTTGTTTTACTCTTTTTTATTTTTATTTTCAATTTATCTTTATTGTTGAAAGTATTACAGGTGTCCCGTTCCTCCCCCCCAAGTGACCCCTTCCACCTCATTCCCATCCCCTCCCCAGGCCTTCATCCCATTATTGACTGGGTCCATGGGTTATGCTTATATGCATATAACTTCTTTGGTTAATCTCTTCCCACCCTCCCCCCCTTCCCTCTTCCCTCTGAAATATGATCATCTGTTGCATGCATCAATGTCTCTGGACCTATTTAGTTCGTCGGATTCTTTTGTTCATTAGCTTCTTCTTAAAGAAGACCCNTCTTCTTAAAGAAGACCCTTCAACTTTTCCTGTAGTGCTGGTCTGGTGGTGATGAACTCCTTTAGCTTTTTCTTGTCTGAGAAGCTCTTTATCTGACCTTCAATTCTAAATGATAGAAGGTAGAGCAATCTTGGTTTTAGTTTCATGTTTTTCATCACTTTGAGTATTTCTTGCCACTCCCTTCTGGCCTGCAAGGTTTCTGTTGAGAAATCAGTCATATGGGTGCTTCCTTGTAGGTAACAAACTGCTTTTCTCCTGTTGCTTTTAAGATTCTCTCTTTGCCTTTAACCTTTGGCATTTTAATGATGATGTGTCTTGCTGTGGGCCTCTTTGGGTTCCTCTTGTTTGGGACCCTCTGTGCTTCCTGGACTTGTAAGNTTTTCTCTTGCTGCTTTTAAGATTCTCTCTTTGTCTTTAACCTTTGGCATTTTAATTATGATGTGTCTTGCTGTGGGCCTCTTTGGGTTCCTCTTGTTTGGGACCCTCTGTGCTTCCTGGACTTGTAAGTCTATTTCTTTCCCCAGGTAGGGGAAGTTTTGTGTCATTATTTTTTCAAATAGGTTTTCAATTTCTTGGTCTGTTTCTTCTCCTTCTGGCACTCCAATAATATGAATGTTGAGCCTCTTGAAGTTGTCCCAGAGGCTCCTTATACTATCTTCATATTTCTGGATTCTTTTTTCTTTTTGCTCTTCTGGTTGGGTGTT